CTGATATTACTGGAACACCATACAGGGTATGACAACAACACTTCAAAGAATACCTCATAGATGCGCAGTAATGCTTTACCTATTTCACAGTTCTTCGAAATGCATTGAGGGTGGTCTGTGAAAGGACAAAGAACTAGTGTGATGACTTCATTATACTGGGTCTGTACAATGAGTTATATGCTAGCATGGACATCACTGCAAGGACATTTACAAAATGATATTACCACCTCCAATTCCTGCCCTGCCTTTATAATCACACAGCCTGATTATGTAACATTCAATGTGGATGTGCACCACAATGCGTAACATTATTTGGAATATACAGTGCTGGTCAGAATTATTTTCCCCTTGGTAAATATGATCAAAGAATAATGTAAAAATAAATATGCATTGTTAATCATTTTGTCAATCTAATCTTTCATTGAAGTAAAATAATTGAAAGTGAGGGGGAAATTACATTAGGAAATAAATGTTTGTCTCCAAAACAAATTATTTGTCCCCTTTTATTAAATACTTTTTGCAACCTCCTTTTTCCAAGATAACAGCTCTCATAATCCCTGATGAGTTTGGAGAATCTGATGAGATCAGAGACCATTCCTCCATATAGAATTTCTTCAAATCCATCCAATTCCCAGATCCTTGTTGGCACTTCGTCTCTTCAGTTCAGCCCACTCATTTTCTATAGAGTTCTGGCCTGGGGACTGGTATGGCCATTGCAGATGCTTGATTTTGTGTTCAGTGACCCATTTTTGTTTTGATTTTGATGTTTGTTTTTGGATCACTATGTTGGAAGATCCAAACACAGGCCGTTATGATATTTTTAGCACAGGCTGTCAGGTTTAGACGTTTTATCTGTAGGTATTTGATCGAATCTATGACGCAATGTATCTAAACAAGATGTCCAGGACCTCTGGCAGAAAATTACTCCCACAGCATTAAAGATACAGCAGAGTATTTCGTTTTACACATCTTAAGTTTTATTTTTTTTTCCAGAGAACCCATCAAGTTTGAAGTTCCAGTAGAGTTAGTTACATTTCAAACGTTCTATGTTTAGATGGGAAAAAAAGCAAAAAAAAAAAAAAAAAAAAAAAAAAAAGCAAACCTCTTTGCCAGCAAACACTTAATATGGATTTGAGTAATTTTCTGCCTGGACATCTTGTTCAGATTCATGGTATCTTGTGTTCGATCAAATAGCAACAGATAAAAAAATCGAAACCTGACAACCTCTGTTAGAAATCTTATAACGGGCCATGATGATAACGGGCCATTCAATTGTTTTACTTCAATAAAAGGTTTGATTTTTGCATTTAAAAAATAAATAAAATATAAATAGCATATTAATGCAGATGAATTTTCTTACAGCCATCATTGATCATATTTACCAAGGAGGCAAATAATTCTGACCAGCACTGTGCATAATAATGACAACCCTCAGTATTACAAAAAAATATTACCATGGTTGTATGGCTTCATTCTCTCCAGTGTGTGTATAACAGCATTACAGTATATGTTGTTCTGAAGTTGTGAAATATATAAGACACATTTCTCTGTCTTTTCTCTTTCATTATTGATCAAACACTGATATGGTTGCTGTTCTATCTGGACCCCTTTGACCTAAAATCACATTAAATATATAGTATAGTATTATAACATTGATCCACAAATCCTCTATTTTGACACTTACCCAATCATTTCCAACTTAAAACTAAAGCATTGTTTTGTGGATGTAATATTGATATAAGGTGATTTAGATAGCCACCCTCAGTCTGTTTGCCTGCCAAAAGAATGATATTGTAAACAGAGAGAGCACGGTTTGGCACGGCAGAGCTTTCACTGACAACAGAAGTCTATCTTAAGCTCTTCAACATAAGCTGTTACAGCTTCAGGTACATTAGCTGATTGTGTGCCATCACTCTAAGGCTGGCTAACAGTGGCTGGCAGGTCAGGTCTAATTGGACAGGACTTAGCACCAGCAGGCACAGCTATGGAATGTGCGCAGCTGTTCTCCCAGCTGTCAAATAGTTGCTCTGATCAACTGATCACTGCTTCTTCTATCACATTCCCACACATCTGAACTCGGTGCACTGAAATTGCCATTCATTTATCTTGCTTGTCAGTTTCAACGTGTACAAACTCGCTATCAGTTGTTTATCAGTTTATCCAAGGTCTGTATTCAAATAATAATAATTACTGTAGTGGAGAATGTCATACCCCAGTTCAAGCCATCCTGTGGTCTCTTCAGATAAAGTTAAGCTAAAGGGCTCCAAAAAGCTGTGGAATCCAAAGCGTTCCAAATATTTGTCCCTCTTAATCTGTCTGAGAATGTGAGCTTTGAACACGAATGGGTAACTACAGAAAACACAGACTCTCAAACAACCACTCCAATCTAATAAAAAGAGATTTGAAGACCTTTTATTTCGGTTTAGCATGGCTCTCATAAATAACGCCATCAGAACTCTTTTGTGAATTTCTATTCTGATGGTTGAAAATGTAGCTTCGGGTCGATGAAGCGGGTCTTGGATCAGTATGAAAGGACAGATTTCTCTCAGAGCATGTGACTCAATTCTCTATAATCGCATCTGCTGTATTATGCACTAAACAGCACATTTGCAGCATATATTAGTCAACTGATTTAATTGTGAATGCCAATGAGTGTAAATGCTATTAACTAAAAAAATACAGTTTTCAAAACAATATATGCTTAATGATTAAATGAGGTCAAATGATGATTAACTTCTTTATTATCACTGCTTAATGCAAAATCAAGAGTTTATTTACAGTTTATTTACAGCAAAAAGGCAATTATTTGCCTACGCTGTCATTAACTGTAATTAATCATATATTTTTTTTCTAAATTTGCTGGTTCCATGAAAATGACAACAGCTTGTGGATGTTTCTGTCAGTCGGAGTAAAAGCTATCAAATAAGCCTGATGTTTATATAGAATAATTTTGGTATAATATATATATATATATATATATAGATATATCTGTCACCCTGGGACTGTTGACGTCTACATGTTGAACCTTATTACTTTCTGAGCTCCATTCAGAAGTGCAAACACAAACAACAAATTTTTTATATCCAACAATTTCATATAAGATCAAAGGTCTGAATTAGTGTGTGTATTGTGACTTACTCCATTAGACTCATTTTCTATGTCACCACATTTTTCATGACCTTGACGAAATGGCCCACACTTCTGGTCTCGTCTGGTTGGCATGTCAACAAACTAAATCTATGAAAGAGCTCTAAGTAAATGTGGCATTCTGTTGAAGCAACACAGAGTTGAATCTAGGCAAGCAAATGTAGTCATTTCCCAAGCTAGTAGTCGATGAACTATCATTTACTATTATTTACAACATCAAAGATGTATGTAAGTTTAATAACAGTTAACGGTAACACTTTAGAATACGGTTCCTTCGTTAATGAATAACTACACAAGAAATGAAAGCGCAGCGTAAGTTCTGCCAGGAAGACTCAATTGTTACGTCATTATTACCTTCTCATCTATCCAATCGTGTTCTTATATGTGAAGTATAAAAGATCCATACTTACACTCATACATACTTACGGACGGGACCTTCGCCAAAGAACTTTATTGAGCTATTGCTTGCTGGGTTATTAATAAAACTGACATTTGTACAGTATCTTCTCTCCTGAGTCTTTCTGGTTGAGCCAATGAGTAACACAATACAATCTAGTAACTATAATTTACTAACAAGACACTCACTGATTAACAAACTAATCAATAACTACAATTTTTTTATGCTTCCCAGAGAGCTAATGAAAATGTTTATTAACAATCTAGTAACTACTATTAACTAAAAAGAAACACCGATTAACAAATTAGTAAGTAATAGCTCACAGATGAAAGTGGTACTTCACTGTTAACTAATCAATAACTACAATTTTTTTAATGCTTCCCAGAGAACTAATGAAAATCTTCATAATTCATGCAAAACTAATCATTAACCAGTGCAGGACAAAATAACTAGCACTATATTAATTTGAACTGCTACTGTGAACAAATACACAAGTTAATAATCAATAAGAATTAATATTAATCACTAAAGCCCGTAATAATTGGCCTATGCTGTCTATTAATCAACTGAGTAATTAAAAAAAAATGATTTTTAAATGCAGTTGTTAGGACCTTACTTGTCCTGTAGCCAATTTTCTGTTATTCCTCTGGACTGGCATTGAATCAATAGAGTCATATATATATATATATATATATATATGCAGGACAAATGGATAACTAATAAGTTCTCATTACTAAATGAGATCAGCCTCATTAATTAGTAATAACTCATTAATAACTGGATTGACTATAACAAACGATAAAGAATGACAAATTAATTGCTAATCACAACATTGTGTTATTGAGTAATCAATACGAAATCAATTTTATTTTTTACTCTGAACATGATAATAAAATGTGTCACTAATTATTAAAGTCAGTGTTACCTAGTCAGAAGTACTAGTGATCTGGACCATTATTTTTAAGTGAAAAGAAAAAAAAAATCATGGACCTGCAGAGGGACTGAACAATTTGGTAATTATAGTGATGCAATGTAACCATCTTCAGGGTAATAAGGAAAATTGATTACGCCTCAGACAAACATAATGTGATTAGTAATTAATTGGTCAATTAGTTAATAGTTATTAACAGCCCATTCTCACCCCCAAGACGTCACTTAACTGACGCCTTGGGAAGCATTTGGACATGCTTCAATATCTGACGCTTTAGGCGCCCTTTAGCGTCAGTAAGATGACGCCCTAAGATCGCGTGTACCCTACCCCCACCCCACACCTAAACCTAACCGCGTCCTCTAACTGACGCTTTCCTTTAGCGTCAGTTAGATGACGCCGTAGGATCGCGTCATGTAAGTGACGCTAAAGGGCGCCCAAAAAAACGTCAAATATTGAAGCATGGTCAAAGTGACGCCTTGGGGTGAGAATGCATTGTTATTAATGAAGCTAATCTCACTCTTACAGATCTGTCAGGCTCTTACACCAGCCAATCACAGTGCACTCCCTCACCTGAGTTCTAATCACATACACCTGCAACTCATCATCATCATCATCATCACCACTACACACACTTCACCGCAGCTCATTGTCTGGTCTCGATTGTAAGAGGAATATTACCTTGCCTCTATGACTATTGGCATCTTCTTCCATTTATTCATTTAAATGAATGAATAAATGAATGAACAAAAGAACGAGGAAGGAAGAAAGGAACTAACGAACAAATGAACGAACGGACATCACTGCAGCCTGTATTATTATGTAGCATCTTCTGCATCAGCCTTTGATATCTCCAGTGATCCGTCTCCAGTCTCTACTCCAGCTTCATCTTCAGACATCACAACGAAACGGCTTAAACGATTCATTTCATTGACTCAGAGTCAAATTTTGAAAGGCATTTACATAACATTTGGTGCACTTTTATAAAAAAACAAAAATTGCAGGATGTTTTCTTTCACTTAGAGCTTTGTTACACACTAGCTAGGCTATGTCACGCTGTGGAGCCGGCAGAAGGAACAGGAGGAGTCCAGATTCACACGAGTATAATATTTTAATTCAAGGTACAGGCAGGAAGACAGGGAGATACCGGGTAACATGCAACATTGACCGACAAAGACAAAGACCCCGTTTACACCTGGTATTAAAATGCGATCTGTATCCAGATAAGTTATCCGGATAATAAAAAACGCATGTTAATGCAAGGTGTAAACGCGTTGTGATCGGATCGTGATCGGATCTGCCTGACCACATCTGGAGGTAGTCTGGCTCGCATTGTGTACGGATCTTTACTAGGTGTAAACGCAATCTGGTTGTTGAAACCACATATATTTTACTCCTCCCAAAAATGCTAAAAAATAAACGAGTGAGAGCGTGTTATATAGGCTATATGTCATGTTATAGCCTAGTCAGATGCGACACGCGACACGCCGCAGATGAGCAGCTGAGCGTCTATTCAACGTGCAAACATCGCAAATAAAAGTGAAAGTAAGTCACAGACGCAGTTAACACATCTTCAAGTAAAGAAACGAAATTATCTTACCAGGCCTGTTGCCACTCTCTCTTATTGATGTCTCTGAAATGGAAATTAGCTGATGATCAATAAAATGCCGCTCAGATCTGTTGCTTTTGGTGGCGTGCAATCCAATAAATCTGCATATAACGCAGGAGGTGAAGATCGGATTTATATCCGTTTTGCAAAAACACTTTTATGTGGCCAGGTGTAAATGGAATCAGTTATTATCCGGATAACTTATCTGGATACAGATCGCATTTTAATACCAGGTGTAAACGGGGTCTAACTGAACTGAACTGGACTAAATACAGGCAAGAATCAAACATAACGAGGTGAAAACAGGTGAGACAGATGAAACAGGACTCTGAACGGGAGGCTGATGAGGGAGTGAGTTCAGGTGTGCAGACGAGAGGATCATGGGAAGTGTAGTGAAGGAGACGCAGACAGGATGGTGCAGACGCAGACTGTGACAAGCTACATGAAATGTGTTTTTTTAAATACATAATAGGGAGTACTTTAATAAGGAACTCAGTCCTACTTTTGCTATTACTTACTGATTAGTTAAGTTATAGTAGCTAAAGTGTTAATGCTCATTTGTCCTGCATTACTTCATGCATGACAGGCCATTCTATTCTAAAGGGTTACACAATATTTTTAAGCCTGTAAAAAATGCCTTTTATACCTTTGAGACAATTGAGACATTGAGAATTTGCTTTAAAACTTTTATATTTTCATGAGCCTTTATCCAAATGACAGCTGATTTCAAGTTAATTTTATCTTGTTACACAGTTTTTTAATACTTTGGCTACAAATCATGATTGTGATTTTGACATTGAACAATTCTTTTTTAATTTAGATTTTCCACACATTTAACCAGATTAACATTGTCATTATCAACTTAGATTATGACCTCAGGTCTAAATGTTTAAAGACTCACACTGTTAGACCTTACCAGGTTTATTACAGTAAAATACTGGCAACAGGTCAAATTCTGACACTATCATACCATTTTCCAATAAAACAGTTATATACCGTAGAAAACAAAACTAGCCTACAGGAATATACTGTGAATAAACAGCTCTCAAAGTCAACACTCAGAGACTGTGTTCCTAATCACACCCTATACCCTCATTCACTGTCTATTCCCTACATTAGTTCACTAATATAGTCCACTTGAATGAAAAGAAGTGAGTGAATTGAGACACTGATGAACACCTGATAAACAGAATCACTGAAGCACAGAGAAACAAGAACTGAGAAAGAGAAACACAAGATCTACAACTGACTTTCAGCAACACTGAATGTGAAAACAGTTTACAAACCAGTTTAACATTATTTATTTCATACATTTACAAAAGTTCTTGTTGAGAATTAACAGAGATTTAATTAATAATAAAGTTTTTTGTCACCATAATGGAGATCAGTATTTGCTTTAGTAGGTCTCTTATCACTGGACTTGTGACATTTATCTCTCTCTGACTGCTGTAACAGTGAGTTTTAAAACACATTTGTTGTAGCAAGAAAAAGTCAAGAGGACACACACAGACATCAACAGTTATAATATTCATCTCAACAACGGTAACATTCAAAAGTTTCATGCAGCAGTCCATGCTGGGTTCCAGGATTGTATAAAACTCCCAGCATGCACTGCTGCATGAATAAAAAAGAAATTGCCACCATTACTGAGATTAATGTGCTAAATTTTGATATCTTGGTGTTTCAACAACGCTGTAGCGCTGTTTTGGTTTATGTATATGTTAAAAACAAATAGTCGTAATTAATTGCTGTGGTTTCGCGGTGGTGGTAATGTAACACTTTTGGTTGAGATTGAAACTCTGAATGAGTGAAAATGAATTATTTAGTAAATGAACAGACCATATGATTATTGTCATATTTTGACAAATCAAATCATTACTAAACTGTATATCTGCACAAGTGTGACTTGCACAAAACACAGCTCACAGCATCTAAAGAAAATTTCATGTTACAGCGTCAGCAGACCAACTAAAGCAAACACTGATCTCTATGATGGTAACTTCAAGCCAAACATTTTTAAACATCTCAACAACATCTTCTATAGATGTATGACAGAAATAAAGCCTTACTAATAAGTGTAATAATGTGTAATGGCTGAAGTCAGTTGTAGTTCTTTTCTCTATTTTCTGTTCTTGATGTTCCTCTTTCCTTCAGTGATTCTGCTTGTTAACAGCAGGTGTTCATCACTAATGCTCAACAATCACTTACATATTCCCTTAATTATCTCACTGCAACACTGCATCAATGTTAATTTTTACCTTTTGTAGTGTGGATTTTCCTGTGGGGTTGAAAGGGTTAACAGTGTAAGATAAAAATACACTCCCACAAAATGTATTTTAACAGTAATAAACTGTAAGTTATAAAACAGGTTTATACTGGCAACACTGTTGCCAGTAGTTTACTGTAAAATCTTGTTTTTTGGGTCACCGTTGTGCTGAAGAGTAGAGCCTGAGCTTCAGTCCAGGAGAAGATCTACAAACATTGATGATACGCTGCATGTTGCTTTATTTAAAAGGCACTGTCTGTGTTAGTTGCAGAATCCGGTGGAAATGTCTTTATTTACAAAAGTTAATTTTTATTGTTTCTAATTAAATAAGTTCATAATAATACCTTAATCACATTATTAATGCATTATAAATTTAGTTGATTATTTTAAGTTGGTTTCTGCAAGTGAAATTAGTTAACTCGAGTTTTAGTCCATTGTTACAGTAAATAACTGGCAACACTGTTGCCAGTTATTTACTGTAAAAATGCACTAAAGCTAATAAGTTTTATTTTATTTTTTTTAGTTAACTTGAGTTTTAGTGCATTTCTACAGTAAATAACTGGCAACAGTGTTGCCAGTATTTTACTGTAAAAAAACCTGGTAAGGTCTAACAGTGCAGAGAAGCCAAAGCGTTTTGTTTGCACTGGTTTTAGCTCAGTATTAGAGCCACAGTATAATTACATTATAAGTCACAGTATGTCAAGCTCCCTCGGAAATTCCTCTGGGGCTCTAGCGTATGCCGTTTTCGTAACTTAATTAAGACCTCTCTTTCCCTCCCTTGACGATTTAATTACCTCTACCATTTGCTTGATATGTATTGTATTTTTAGTATGCGATACGTTCAAAATGATGACTTTTTCCCTGCAGTTATGTAATCTATGAAATCTATTGTTAGAAAAGTGCTCAGTTAAAACGTGTGAGATTACTGGAACAGGAGGAAATTATATGAGATTATATGTATTTTAAACTTCTTATGTGAGAAAACATTTACCCTCTGCAGTCCTGAGAAATAAAAATGAGAAATAAACACTGCTGTTCTTGTTGTATGTTTGTGGAGACTTCATTCAGGCTTCATGGTCAGGAGTGAAAATGGGTAAAGTGGATAGTTGTTGGTTTTGCACAGTTAAATATAAAATAAAACCTATGAAAATAAAAATTATGCTGCAATCATAGCTTTAAAGGTCAGAAATGCACAGGTTGAAGGTTTGAGGTTCTTTTGAACATTTCCATCAATGAATGCATCTTTTTAGGATGGTAGCTCTAAACCCCTGTTTCAATGAATGAATGAATGAATGAATGAACAAAAGAATGAGGAAGGAAGGAAGGAACAAATGGACATCACTACAGCCTGTATTATGTAGTATCTTCTGCCTCAGCCTTTGAAGATCTCACTTTCTGTGGCGTGAGCGAGGATACTATTTATAAAGGTGTTGCAGCGTTTGCTTCACTGGACATCACACTGCCAGTGTTATTGGTAGGGACTCTCTATAGATTATTAACCATTCTTCATTTACATGGAACTTCTGAAGGATCTATATCTCTCTGGAAGGTTCTTTATCTGTCATTAGTATGTGAGGATTTTTAAAGGGTTCTATTTTTAAAGGGAAATACTGGTGAGTGTTCAGTTTAAAAAGGTCACAAGCAGATCAGAATTAATTTAGCATTTAGGTTAGGAAATGAGCAGGAGGCAAAATGACTTATTATGCCAAATTTGTGCATTAGCTGTGGTTTAGACCAATGAGCATAATAGGTAAATGACAGTAAATAGAGCTGGTAAGACTAGGTCCCCAAAGA